AATGCAGCTTTATGAAGCATTCAGTGTATCCAGTGTCACATTTTTTTTAAAGGTTACGTTCCAAAATAGCATTTTACAATGCAAATTGTTACATTATCCCCTTTATAAAATATGTTATGTTTGCTTTGTATTTGTTATTTGTGTACATATTAGTCTTATTTTGATATGAACACAAATTGTACACTAGATTTAAAGAACTTGAAAATTAAGTCAGTACATATTCTGATCATTTGTGTACACAGATTAGACATATACTAGAACCAGTGTTTTAGAATTTCTAATCGGTTGCATACCTGTACTTTTATAAAATGTGGTAGAAAGGAGGAATTGGGAGATTAGGTAGGACCCAGTTACAGGAAGAAAGGTGAGCAAGATCTGTAGAATAAATGGGTTCTCATAGGATGGCTGCATGGATGCATGGATAAAAGGTAACACATCCTAGAGGTCTTAAGGAGTTTTAATAAAGGAGTTAATTTATTAACAGATTCAGTGTGGGTAGAGATTCCCCATTTATTGGTTTGAATCAGTTTTCTGTTAACTAAAGTATGGGATAAAGAAAGTAGCAGCAGGTTTTGGGACTGGGACGTGAAAAGCCTCCGAATGGAGATAGGTCATTTGGGAGTTTATCGAGTTGGAGGTACCTGAGGGATATCAGATATTGGTATAGACAAGTATAAGTTTGGAGCTGAAAAGAAGGGCTAGAAATAAGAATTTGAACATCTTCAGTATAGAATGTCTTTTGTCTTACTTTTTTGTTAAAGAAAGTCTTGGAAGAGACCAGATTGGTAAACTTGAAAAGAAGGAGCCTCTTTTGAGTCATGATTGCCAGGATCCATTAACTATTAGTCATTGGTGCAGTAGAGTCCTTCCTTGAAACTCTTGTAATAATCTTGTATTACAAAGAGAATGGAAGAACTGAGTTTGAGGGCTTTGAGAGAATCTCCATCAGATCAGCTTGGCCAGGCATCGTGGCTCATAAACGTTACCAGAACTTATCAGTTTTAGTTCTGTATCTTATTTTCAGAGACTAAATCCCTAAAGTAAGTACCGTCACATCCTAAGGCATTTCCCTAGTTTCATTCATTTATCATAGACTATTAGTTTTAGGAATTAAGTTTGTTGGGTTTAAATCATACTTTCAAAATTGTGGCGATCTGTAAAAATGAAAAAGAAAAAATAATTTACCTTTGACCTTCAAGAGTGCCTGACACCTTCCCTTCTCCCACTTAAACCATCCATAAAACCCTGTTTCATAAGGGCTGTGTACACATAAGTCGTTTCCTCAGCCTGAAGGACCTCTTTTCTTCCCTCAGCTATATCTTTTGGAGTCTGCTATGGAACTGTCTTTTAAGCTTCTATTAGGACATTAATTTCAGTGAGCCTTTTATTCAATTGCGTAGATGCATAGCCATAACAGAGTGCCTGGCGTAGAGTAAAAACCGGTTGCCAACATTTTATTCCTAAAAAGCTGCGTCTGCTTTAATTGAATATAGACAGCAGTATTGACTACACATACCTTGTCTACATAGACTGAAGTAAGGCTTTGGGGGTAAGCACACAATTTACAAGTTTTAAATATTGGCATTTAACCCTGACTGTGCACTGGAATAATTTGTAGAAGCTTTAATCTGGTTCACAGGGTGTGATCCCCAACCCACTGAATCAGAAAATCCAAGATTGGATATGGAATCCAAACATTGCTCCATATTAATAATTTATGCATACAACCATAATTTGTCAATTATGAAAAGTTATCTCATTGCTTGTCTTCAGAGTTGGGAATACAGTTGGAGGGTTCTACAGTTGAAAAGATTGTGAGATAATCACAGACTATATAACTAGAAGTAAAACTCTTTAAAGGGAAATAAAGTCTTGAAACTCAAGTTTTGTGTGTTTTACATCAATATAGATTTCCCCCTCCAGATAGAAATCAAGTTCCTTAGTGTATAGAAAGCAAAATACAATAAAGTTATTTTGAAATACTGAACAAGTCAAAGCCTTTTAAAGAGAAAGTGACTTTGGTGATAAAGATGTCAACAGAAATTGTAATGAATTGAACCTTGTACTAAATTGGACCAGAAGTGCTATTAAAAGGAAATCACTGTTAACATTAGGAAAAATAAAGTCTTAGGTAAATCTTCTTGCTTGGAAATTAATTTTCTATAGAATGCTTTCTGCCTTGAGGTTTGTATACAGTCTTTGAACTGCAGAAGCCTCTACTGCGTAGTAAGTATTTCACACAGCAGTAGTCAGTTTCAGTACTGCAATATTTCGGTGTGAGGTACAGTTATTTCCTAGCTCTTTCTGTTGGTTGCAGCGATGGGTGCTAGATATTTTACCATGGCATCTTCAAGGTTTGGGGCTGATTATCATAGTTGATAGTTATTTCTCCTGGTTTATATGTTAAAGATACATCTATTTTGCATCCGGTTTAGATACTGGAAATGAAACTGCGAAGTCATGCCATCCCCACCCTAGTCCCTCATCTCCCTTTAGTTTACTGAAAGGTGTGTCAGTGGTTTTCTTTATGTGGGGTGGTTTTGTGTGGCTGTTCTTAGTTTCTTAAACTTAAGTAGTTATTCTGTAAGTTCTTTCATTCTCACAGGCCTGTTTTTGAATATGTACTCTTTTGCTGAGTTAATTTTTAGACATCATTGTGGTTTGGAAATGTTTAATATTTCATGATATTTGGGGTTTGAAATGGTGCGTCAGTGACTTCATTGCTGATTTTAAGATTGATTGATAATTATATAAAACATGGTCCAGAGCTACTTCTGCCAGTTTTCGCTGCAGGACCTTGAATATTGATAGATGAAATGTAGGTTGGGCAATTCGAATTATGCATCTCTGCTCTTCGTGGGATTTCAGTGAAATAGCAAAACTAAAATACTGCCATCTTAAAGGGTGTTTTTTTGCAGGTCAGTTTGTATCCTTTGGCTCAGCTAGGAAAGGTCTGTCTTCTTTTATCTAAATATTAATTTATGCTGGCAGGATAGATTAGGCTTAGAAATGTAGTACAGTCTGAATGTGTGGCTTCTGTGCCTCTTTTTGTCTAGAGGAAAACAACTGGTTATAAAGCGTGCTTTGCTCTCATAGTACTCACTTTTTAAAATAGTCTGTTTTCTATTGCTGTGGTAGCACACTAAAAGGATGTTTGAGGACATACAATCTGCTTTGTAGGCCAGGGGAAAATAAAAGCAGTTCTAGAAGTGTTCAGATGTTGGATTTTTTTTCATTCGGTCAATCACGGCAAATAATTTTTCACTCTTGGTTTGTTGATCATTGTGTCCCTAGTATCTGCATTGTCCTAAGGACATTATAGGGCCTTGAAGTATTTGTTGAATGGATTAAATATTTAACATTTAAGGGTCATAGTCATTTAGTTAGTAGCTTGCCCATTCAGAATATTACAACCCTTAAATGTTAAGAGTACTGCAAATGTAGGCTAGCCTAATTATGCAAGCACATAACAGACATTCGTGAATGAATGTAATAACTACTGATTCATACCATATTATGCCTTCTAATTTTTCTTTCACTGTAACACTTGGTAGCTGACATTATTTTTGTTAATTGAGGGTTCTAGTTGACCAAGTGCAGTTTTGTTGATTCTGTTCTGAAATACAGTACTAAAAGCTTGCTGCTGCTGATTCCTCTTGATAAGAAAGTTTTGATAAAGAAAGTTCTTTTTGGGCTTATATCTAGAAGTTGTCATTGTACATATCAATTTTCAGTTTATCCAGCAGTTAAAAAAATATAACTCTTTAGGCATTTGGATTGTGGACAGGAGTGGTAATTTTTAGAAAATGGTGTATACTTTGGCTTTTGATTACTTTTAATGGTAAAAATTTGTGGAGACTCAGAAAATTTGAATATACATTTCTGGAAATATTTTTTAGAAGAGTTCAAAGAGATTCACCTTTTTTAAATTTTAAATATTTTATACCATTTCTATTACTTGTATGCCTTCTCTTAGTTTATATAGCAGATTTAATGTTGATACACTAGATACCAGATGGCGTCCAGTGTTCTTGTTGATGATTTGTATTCTTATAAGTGTTACACCTTGAGTTTGACATGTATTTGGGGGGGGGCAGGCTTATATGACATTATTACAAGTGGATGCTGTAAATTATTAGTGGTTTATTATTGCCTACACATATAATAGCATGTACATTCTAAAAGGATAATTGCATTTCATTTCTGTTGGTTGCAAGGATGGATGGGTGCTAGATATTTTACTATGGCATCTTCAGGTTTGGGGGTTGATGATCATAATTGATAGTTATTTCTGCTGATTTATGTCTTAATAGGTACATCTATTTTGCATCTGGTTTAGATACTAGAAATGAAACTATGAGGTCATGCCATCCCCACCCTACTCCCTCATCTCCCTTTAGTTTGCTGAAATGTGTATCAGTGGTTTTCTTTATGTGCATTGGTTTTGTGTGGCTATTTGATGCATTCTTTGTGGTACTTCACATACTTTTAAAATACACTAAATACAGTAATTATTGAAGAATCAGTAAAGGCAGATAGTTTTACCCTTTATGACAATTCTCATAGTCATTTTTTTAAAAAACATTCACATCATTTTGAGATAGTGGTGTTTAATACATTAATGCCATTGAACTTTTACTTTCAGTTTTTAAAATAATGATGTTTTCTATTTGATGTGTTCTATACCTAATACTTCCTATTTACTAGAAGACTTAAAAACCTGATTCTTTTTCCATATAAACAAAATTTATGTAGGATAACTTGATATCAAGTTAATTCTTACCCCAATTCTCCATTCTCAACTGTTTGAAGAAAATATTCAGCAACATGTTTGTTGCCAGCAGTAAATGTTCAAGGTAATGCTAGTTGGTTGTCTAGTATGTTTTATTTGCATAGCATAGTTTCATTATTATATTAGACCTTATATACCTGAAGATTATTTTCAAATACATTTATATGATTGAATTTAGTGCATTAATTTTCTCACTCTCTTCTTGCAGCATTTTCAGTTAGCTTTGGTTGACTGTAATCCCTGCACTTTGTCCAATGCTGAAAGTAAGTATTATTAAGTACCATAGTTCTCTGCATGTGTTCAGATCACTTCATGGCAAATAATAGTAATAATAATAATAGTCATAAATCCTGTGTAATTTTTTTCCCTAGAATTGTTGAATCTAACTGTATTTGTTGCCATGGCTACTTGTACAAATGGAACATGTGAGACCAGTTATTATGAGCAGCAGCCTGTGTCTAAAATAGATATGCCAGTGAACTGGGTTGTTGAATTAAATTATCTGTGCTAGTGAACAAGATTGATTATTTGTGTATTAATTACATTGTAGATGACTTGGGGGGATTAAAAACAGGGTTTGCCAATCTTTTAGGAAAACTGAGTATACAAAGATTCTTAAGTGTTAGCTCACTGATTCGGGCTTTGTGGTATTAAAATTATTGGTAATTATGAAGATATACTTTGACTTTCTATTATAGTTTTAAGCATCACACATAAAGATTGAGGTGAGATTTTTCAGTTAATTAAAAAAGAATGTGTGAAGCATGTTCTGATACAGTGGTTTTCTATAGACATTTTCTGCTTCTATGTATGTTTCTTTCCAAAAGCAGATTGGGTTGATTATGATGTGTTTATCAATATATATGTGTTGGCATATTTATTTAGTGTACTTTAAGGTAGCCAATAAAAGTTTAAAGAATATGCATTGGATTCAAGCTGGATTTCTTTAAAACTTTCTTAATTGAACAATAAAATTTATAATTAGAGTGTATGAAAAATTGAGTCATTCTTCATGAAAATTTCAGATCAGTCGAAAGATTCTAGGTTTTACAGAGTCAGTATTTTGCTGTAAGTGACTTCATTTTTTAATCATATAGAAAGGAGTTTAGTGAAGAGAAGTCTCAGTGGTAAAAACGCCCCCAAATGATTGAATCAGTGAAAAGAATGGTAGAAATTTGAATATAACTTGCATATAACATGAATTAAGACATAGTGTGGATTAAATCATTATCTAGACCAGACTAATTATCTCATAATTCTACTAAATGTAATTTTCTGAGAAAACTTAAAAGAATTCTATTTTCTTTAAATGAAACTCAGGATTTAGTACTGATCAGTGTATTTCCAGAACAAATGGTGGGAAGGTAACAAATGCAGCAATATTTTAGTTTCTAAGATGAGGATAAATTAGAAAAAGGATTTAACTCATTGATATATTAATTTATAAAATGTTAATTTTTTATACTTTTTCCTTAATTATATATCCAGGTTATATAAACCATCTAGAATATAAACCCTTAAAACCTTTTAAAATTAATTTATAGGAATAAAAAAAATCTGATTTTCCTTTAATTGATTGTAGCTAGTGCCTAAAAACTAACTTTCATACGTACTTGTCAGTTTGAATGATAACCTTAGAGGGACGTCACATAAATTTCAAACTAATAAATTTTGTAAATCCTCATTTTATTCTACTCTGTTGAAGTTAAATCTTACTTGTAGATCATTGCTCCTGAAGGAAAACACCTATGTAGAATGAGTACCACAGGGCAGATCTTGTTGAATTTGAAGAGGACAGTTTGAACAATCATGGATACATTTTCGAGCTTACCACGACTCTCTTTCTGTTGGTTATTGAGAAGGGAAATAAGAGGGAGGGTGACCAATGTCCTGTTTTGCACAGGACTGAGGCGTTTCCCCAGACTCAGAACTTTGAGTGCTAAAAGGTTGGTCACTGTAATGCAAAGGGCATGTGCCTTATTTAGAGACATTAGGCCATTATAGTTCAGTTGATTTGGGTAGTTTATTTTTTTATTTTTTTGCGGTACGCGGGCTTCTCACTGTTGTGGCCTCTCCCGTTGCGGAGCACAGGCTCCGGACACGCAGGCTCAGCGACCATGGCTCACGGGCGCAGCCACTCCGTGGCATGTGGGATCTTCCCGGACCGGGGCACGAACCCGTGTCCCCTGCATCGGCAGGCTCTCAACCACTGTGCCACCAGGGAAGCCCTGGGTAGTTTATTTTTGACAATCAACATAGCTACTTGATAACCATGGTAATAATGGCTGATGTCTCACAGAGCACTAGCAAACACAGACTACTTAATTTGAGCTAGATATTATTCCTGTTTAAACATCAGGCTCTTTATTATCTTTGTAAAACTTATTTCTCTTCAAATTTTTTATATCATTACCTATTTAGATATGCCACAGACGTTGACTGTTTTTTGAAATCTTCCATGTTACTTTGTCGTGCTACAAAGTTCAGAAGATTTTAGAAAGTAAAGTGAGCTTTAAAAAAAAGTCTGTATGAGATTTCTGTTTTATGGCACAATTCATTTATGCAATTAAAGAAAATAAGTAGATACACTGGCCTCTTCTAGAGCTATTTAAGAGGGGTTAATTACAGTTTGTGTTTTGAAAGTAGAATCATGGTGATGTGAGCCTTCTCATATGATTGCCCCTTGGGATAAAATTGTTCCTTCTAGATTTAATTAATTCTATTAATTCTAAAAATAATGTATTAATTTCTGAAAAAAGTTTAATTTCAGAATGTTTTATGGCAATATTTGTTAAAAATTTCTACCTCTAATTGAGACTTGCCAAGTGGAGCTTTTTCTTAGTTGTATGGTTATGTTCCACTTTGAAGAGGACTTTTAAGAATTTAAATATAGATTGGTTTTCATACCACAAAAGATGATACTGGATTTAGTAACTCATGGGATAGGAAAGCCCTTGCTGAGCCTGGAGGAAGTTTGGGATGGTAATAGAATGCCACCGTGCTGCTGATCTTTTCTTCCATGTGACCTTTCCATGTCACCTTTGTTAGAGGAGTAGGAAGATTCAGGGGAGAAGGGCATAGATTTTCCATCTCTTCCTCATTCTCTTAACCTGTAACCCGGCCTCCCTCTAATGATGTAGTGAGGTGAGATGGACTGGAACTCTCAAGGGAGCTGTGTTGGAAAAGGGGACTAGGAAATAAGAAAACCCCTAAACAGATATAAGTAAAGGGGATATTTATATCTGTAGAACTTTTATTATTATTTTTATGTGCTTTTCACAAAATGTTGGTTTTCAACTTTTAAAGGTGATGTTTTTATTTTGCCTCATTTCTGATTATTTAACATACGATATTTAATGATTATATATGGAGAGGGCAGTACTTTACTGTTGATCCAAAAATGTTGTTTGATATTAAAGTTCATTATATATTTTGTTTTGGTGTTTATGCTTACTTACTTCAGCTGTTCCCAGGTGCTGGTCTAGGAATAGGTATCAGAATCCCTTGCAGAACTAAATAAAAAGGCACTTTTCCAGGCCTTGCCTGGGATCACTGAATATAATCTCAGGGATCTCTATTTTTAGTAAGCCTCCCAGGTGACTCTTACAGTTATGGGAGTCAGTGAGAGAGTTAGTTTATGATGACGATGAGAAATTGATGATAGCTGTGGACATTGTTTTTAAAGGTCCACATATATATTATGCATATAATTTTGAAAGGCTCCCAGACTCCTTGAAATTCAACTATGAAATCCAGGTAGATAGAACATTGAAAAAAAGATTTGTCATTGAAGGATGAAAATCATATTATTTAAGTAAACCAGAATCCAGTTTTGATTCCTGGTTCATTGTTGCTTTTGTTGAATCATTCATATTCTGGTGGTGCAGTATCAGGAAGAGTTGAAAACAGAAGCTGCAATACGTATATTTTTATTTGATTTTCAAGAGATACTTGTTAATGTTGAGACTGTTTACTATTCTTGCCTTCCAAGTGGTTTGACTTTAAAAAAAGATTATGAAGAACTCATAGAGAAATGCAACTTATTTCCTCTATGTGTTATTACTAGTGTCATCCTTGTCTATGACTTCTTTATAAACATTGATATGAAATATGGTATAAGGAAAAAATTGGAGAGTATTTTTGTTGTTGTTTTAATCAAACACTTTTTCTTTTTTGACTTGTAACTCAGGTTTTAAATACCATGTTTTGAAATGTATAGGTTATAAAAGTTTTCTTCATTTGTTTAATGTTGCCATTTTGAACTTTGTAAGAAGTATACCCACTTGCTATAGATTTTAATATTAATTTTAATAATTACATTGACAACAGTGAATACATGTGGTTTCTTATCATGTTCGTGTATATTTGTATATTCTGTTACTAAAAATAAAAGTTATGTTCTATAATTACTTAAATCTGTGTAGTAGAGATGGTGCTTATATTTTACATTTTATATTCTTAATTAAATTTACCCAGACACTGCTGTATTATTATTGATTTTTGTTTTCCATCATCTTTGCAGTTCAATTTCACATTGCCCACTTATATGAAACCCAGGTAAGTGTTTTAACTTAGGTTACTTAAAACAAACAAAAATGATCACCCATACCATTTTAAGTGGAATCAGATATACAGATAATTTAATGGAGCTCTGGGCATTACTTCTTACATACATTTTATACTCATTAAATGTGGTCAAGATTTTGCTTTAGTGTTACAGTTATTATACAGAGTGCTTGTTGTGTACAAAGACGTTTCATTCAGTATGATTTGCCTCTAAATTCAAACTATCTGCAGGCTTAAATGGCTGTATTTAAGAAGATTTCTCTTATTCTTGATGTGAAATGCCTAGTTTTCTTTTCGAAATGTTTATAGATGGTTGTTATAATGCATTGTTTTTAGTTTCACTTTTTCTTAAGATTAAAATATCCCTTCTACGTATCACTGTTTGAAAGGCATATTAGTAACCTCTTGATGTCATTACCATTACTTTTATGGCTGCTGTATTTAAAAAACTTTTAGTTTAATTTTAGAACATTTTATTTTTATGTATGGCAGATTTTGCTTAGTTATATGGTAAAGGACATAAAACAGACATTTAGTCTAGGTAGGCAGTGGTATGGAAAATCAGGCATAAGTTGGTATGAGGCTAAATATTAGGTAATCATAGTTTACCCAAAAAAACAATTTTTATAACAGCTTTTTAGGAAAAAAATACTGTTATATTTCTACATAATTTCTAAGGTCTGTTTTGTTTCAGAGCCACCATGGGGTGGTCTAAACAATTAACATCTGTTTCCTGGACACCTCCATCTGTGCGCCCGCCTACCCTTCCCGCCCCTGTGCGTACTCGCACGCACACATGCGCGCACATCCACTGACTCAGAATTGATGCACACTCAGGTTTGGATACTCTACTAATCTAGGGATTTTATCCACCTTGAGAGGATGCATTTGAGAATTACATTCATGTTGTGGATCAGAGTCTTTACCTGCCAACGCTAATCCCAGCTTCCTGCCAACTGCTGATTTTTGCCAAATCAGTAAAGGCCCCAGGGTGAAAGCAGCTATAGAAATAAGCTTCCTCTCCAAAGTTCTTTCCCTGGAGTCTTAACTCCTTCTGTTTTCATTACCTCAGGAGATCTCTGCTGTCTTCAAAAGGATGAGCTCTGATTTTTTCCCAGCTTTTCTAGTTCTTAGTGAGATTTCCCTGGTCTGTCATTAGGTAAAGCAGATGTTATCTCGCCTTTCTTTTTAATGAATGTTTTTCGCTTGAGATGGAATTCTATTTGATTATTTTTATTTGACCACTTTAAAATTTACATTCCATTGTCTTTTGGTTTTCATTGTTTCTGATGAGAAGTTGTCTGTTGGTGTTATTTTTTTTTATTTCGTGAAGGTAATGTGGGTACAGGACCCTCCCCCCACTGATTCTTTCATTTGATAAATTTTAGTGCCCATTAAGATTAAGCAAAACAAAAAGAACAAAGTTTGTGCTAGGCAGAGTATATAATTATTAGATGACAGGAAGATGACACTGTAAGCATATGAAAGGATTGAAAAATCTCTACTCCAGTGCTTATAACAAGGATTTTTATTTTCAGGTGAAAAATTAAGGGAAACAAAAGGCTTACCTACAAAGTATACAATGTGATGATTTGATATATGTATGATTTCCCGCACTGAGTTAATTAACACACCCATCCCCTCACATCTCTAAAGTGGGGGCAGTGAGAACAATTAAGTTTGATTGTCTTAACAAACTTCATTTGTACAATACAGTGTTATCAACTATAGTTATCATATTATATGTTAGATCCTCAGACCTTATTCGTCTTGTAACTGGAAGTTTGTACCCTTTTACCAACCTTTCCCTATTTCTTCCACCCCACCCCCTGGCAACCCTTTCTACTGTCTTTTCTATGAGTTTAACTCCCCACCCCCACCCCTTTTTAAAAAGAATCCACATTTAAGTGATATCATACAGTATGTGTCTTTCTCTGTCTGGTTTATTTCACTTAGCATAATTCCTTCCAGGTTTACCTAGGTTGTCACAAATGACAGGATTTCCTTTTTTTAAGGCTGAAATATCATTCCATTGTATTTATATACCACATTTTCTTGATCCATCTGGAGACAGACACTTAGGTTGTTTCCATTCTTGGCTCTTGTGATTAATCCTGCAGTGAACATAGGAGTACAGATATCTCATCAAGATAATGGTTTTGTTTCCTTTGGTAATATACCTGTACCCAGAAGTGGGATTGCTGGATCATATGGTAGTTCTGTTTAGGTTTGGGTAATTTTAATGAGATGTCATGTCAACTCACCCACACCCATTCTTAGATTATCTAAATAAAGATAATTTTGTTTCTCTGTATAATGTCATATCTCCAAGTAAATATATTATGAATTATTGGATATTTATATCAATTATTTAATTTACCTTTCCCATTTTATTAGCTGAGACCCGCAGAACCATTTTTTTCCCTAATAGTAATAATAGTATTCACTGGCCTTCATTTCTTTTTCTTGATTTTAATGAAATAACTTGAACAAGTCACCATCTAAATTCTAAATAACCTTTAAAGATTAAAGGTAAAGGATTTCTCCCTTTTAGTTTTGTTATTACAGTGTTACTTATTTTTGAGTAGATAATCCAAAATGAAAGTGCCTGCAAGAATACAGTGTAGTATCCTCCCTCCTTTTCCCTGGCCACCTATTCCCCTCCCGAAAGCCACCAACCACCATAAGCAGTGTGTTTTATATCCTTCCAGAGAATCTCAGTGTATATATAAGCAAATCCATATATATGCTTGCACATATATTTGTTTTTTATTTTATTGAAATAATAACCCATTATATATGTTCTCTCTTGATCTTGTTTAAATTGGTTTTTTTAACTTAGTACTATATTTTGGAAATCATTCCCTGTCAGTACATGTAGAGCTGTATTATAATATATCCCTTTGCAGAGATGTACTGTAGCTAATTTAACTATTCTCCCTTGAGAGATAGTTACAAATAATGTTATTATGAATAACACTGTTGATAAGAATTACTAGTTTCATTTTTAACATTGTCTTCTAACTAGCAGTAGTTTATTACTGAAACACTGTAGACTGGTTTCATTTATGCATATTGTACACATCCAAAAATTCTAAAGAAGGAAAAATAAATTCCAGCTGACATTTAAAGATACAGTAAGTATGTCATGATTACCTAGGGTTTATTCCATGAATTCAAGATTAGTTCAGTGTGAAGAAATATGTTAACAAAACAAACAACAATCATGGTAAGGAAAACAGTATTGTGAGGAAGAAAGATTTTTTTTTTTGAAAGAAATAGTGTGAAAAGGAGAGAAAAACAGTAGATCTAATTAATAGGTCAAAACCTTATATTCTGAAAAAAATTAACAAAATAGATAAACCACAAACTAACTTGATCAGGAGGATAAATGAGAGATAAAGCACAGATACATAAAGTAAGATAACCATGGAAACAGAAGAAATTAGTACAGTCATACAAGTACAGCTTAGCAGACGTGTATGCAAATGAATTTGAAAACTTAAAGTGGACTGTTTCCCAGGGAAATACAGATTAGAGAAATTGACCTCATTAGAGTTAGGAAAGTTATAAAAAGCCAATTTTCATAAAAAGAAACAGAGAAAATTAAGTAACGCCCTACAGAGAAAGTACCATGCCCGGATGGTTTTACAGGGGAATTCTACGAAGCCTTTAAATACCAGATAATTCTAGCACTCTATAGATTATGCCAGACCACTAGAAATGGGGAGAAACTTTCTCATTTCTTTTCCTTTTTTTGAGAGGGATAGGGGGCTTATAACAGCTTTTAATCTGACCTTGAGAGACTTACGTGTTTGATAATAATTAAAGTCCTTTCTGCACTTACTGACTCTATAGCATATTTTTACAATATAATGGAAACAAAAAATCTGCTTCCAAACATTAACTACAGGCCACAGTTCTTTGGTGTCTTCTTTTTTATTTAATTGTAAAATATACCTGACATTAACTTTACCATTTTAGCCATTTATTAAGTATACAATTCAGTGGCATTAAGTACATTCGCATTATTGTGCAACTATCACCACCATCCATCTCCAGAACTTTTTCATCATCCCAGGCTGAAACTCTGTACCCATTAAAGAATAACTCCTCATTCCTCCCTCCCCCCAGCCCCTGGCGACCACTATTCTACTTTTTGTCTCTATGAGTTTGACTATTCTAGGTACCTCATGTAAGTGGAATGATACAGTATTTGTCTTTTTGTGTCTGGCTTATTTCTCTTAGCATAATATCTTTAAGGTTTGTATATATTGTAGCATGTGCCAGAATTCCATTCCTTTTAAAGGCTGAATAATATTTCATTGTATGTATACACCACATTTGGTTTATCCACTCATCTGTCAGTGGACACTCGTGTGGCTTCCAACTTTTGCCTGTTGTGAATAATGCTGCTGTGAACATGAATGTGCAAATATTTGTCTTTGTCCCAGCTTTCCATTTTTTTTTGGATATATACCCCCAGAAGTGGAATTACTGGGTCATGTGGTAATTCTGTTAAAATTTTTGAGGAACTGACATACTGTTTCCCCCCATTCCTTTTTGAAACAAGTGTAACATTGATGCCTAAACCTGATAAAGACAGTACAAAAAAGAATCAATATACAAACTATTATCACTGATGAATATTGGTATAAAAATACTAAGTAAAATATTAGCAAACAATCTGTTACCTCATTAAGCAAATAATATACTATGACCAAGTGGTATTCATTCTGGGAATACAAGGCTGATTGAATATTAGGAAATCTATTAATATCATGCATCATAATAATAGAGCTAAAGGTAAAAACAAGTCACTATCATCATAGATGCTGAAGAAGCCTTTGATAAACTCAATACCCATTCCCAACTAAAATTACTCTTGGACATAGGAATTAAGGGTTACTTTCCTATCATGATAAAATTCATGTACTTTAATTCCAAAGTCAGTATCTTATTTAAAGGGAAACACTAGAGACATTTTCACA